TATATATATATATATTGATAAAGTAATTATTGAGGTCGCAAATTTATAGAAGTTGGGGTCGAGCGCATACAATGCCGTAAGGACGACAACTGGTATATTTACCGTTTAAGAATTATTAAGGCTCGGGTATAGACGGCGAAATATACACACGTACATACACATATAGAGTAGTCTCGGTTGGCTTTGAACGCCAGCTGAGGACTGCGCTCTTCGCGAAGAATATTCATTGATTGAACAAAAGTGGAAGATCAGTAAGTGTAAATGTTTGTAAACAAATTATGAAATTATTTGTTCAGTGCCTACATATTTACACAGTAATAAAGATGAAGATTAGTGAAATCACCTGACTTCTTTTTTTAGTCTTCTAGGATTCCCGTCCGCCAATTTTCCACATGAACTTATTAGTAACACAAAAAAAAAAGAAATATCGCATTAGTAATACTTACAAAAAAATTCCTTTTGTAACATTTCGAAATATTTATAAATATTGTAATAAATTAATATTTAATGAGAGAATAACGTTAGAGTCATTGATTAAACTTGATGAAAATATAATGCATCCTCAACAGCTGATATGTGCCAAGCAATAAAAGATTCTGTACAGAAATCATAAGACGTGAGAGTTAGCCAATCAGAGCTAAAAGTTTTTGCAAATTCTTGACTATGATTGGTTAATTCTTACATCTTACTTATGGAAAATGTGTGCACTGTACAGCAGCCTAAAGGCCATCTGCACACGTAAAAAAGTTTAAGTCGTAATCGTAAGGTCATATATCGACCAATCATAATCAAGCACTCTAAACCTATCATAAGACCGCATTTTTAACTAAGTTAAACTAATTGGTTGATGATTTACTTATGATTTTTACTTACGATTTCACGGTTATGACTAAAACTTTCTTACGTGTGATGGCCTTTAGACGGATTACTCGAAGATAAGCCGAGAAAATCGAATTTATAAATTTTACTGTCATATAAGATTCCTTAAAGTTATAATTGTATATTATAATTGTATGGCTTTGTCGTACGACAATTTTTTTTAATTATTAATTGGCTGCAGAACAGAGTTTACAGTTCTTGAAACTTCCTAGTCAAGTAACAGACTTGAAAAATTGTCATGTGACAAAAACGGATAAATGTAATACCTTATAATAGCTCTATCTGCAGAATGCCCAATCGTAATGTATAGATTCAATTCGTATTTGAATGTTTTATTTTTGTTTCATTCAATTTTATATAATTTTTTTTTTGTTACATTTATAAGTTATTTTAATTATCTAAAAATGATATACATACGATAGAATATATATAGAGTTCGGACTGTTTATCTTTAATAGTATTTAAATAATAGATAGAATTTATTTACACTTCAGCATATACAAGCCAAGAAGGAGATTTGGTTTACAGAAATATTTATCTCACACTTACACTCCTCTCTTGCCTTTATATAACTACATATCTAAACTGTTACTATACATTCTCTTTTACCTATACTTTTACATAATCTCTATATCACAGCCCTATCAATCTATTATTAATGTCTATATCCCATATTTCTTATTTCCCTTTATCTCTACATAGCATTTCTTTACCTGAACTTACCTCCCTATCTTCCCTTATATTCTTTAATTGTACGTTCCATGTATATCCTGTCCTTTTTATTTTCTATTGATCTCATTACAATGCATTTTCTTAACTTATAAATAGATAATAAATTATTTATAATTGATAAATTACTATAACTAATTATATTATAGTATTTAAATAATAATATAAGCTTAATTTTTGGATGTTTAAGATAAATAAATTTATAATTATGAAGATAGTATAGGTGTAGTAAAAAGA